CGTAAAATTTCATACAACGTAAAGAAATGACTGAAATAAATGGAAATCGTTAGAGTATCTAGAGGAAATTTTATTAGAATTTGACTAATGCAATGGCCACTTCCCTCTTTGAGAGGTGAATCATGGTAGCTGTATTTATCCAAACAAATAACCAGTCGAAGATGATGAATACCACAACCGTGGTTCCCTGCAGGCGCATCTCGTGAAGGAATTATAGTAATGCCCGTCGATTTCAATAGGTGATAGTTTATTCGGCTGAAAATCTGATTGCTAATCTCAATCTGCTGTCAACTTTGTCACTGTCTTTATTTGATTCCTACAGCCGTTTGAACAACAATGGCGTACTCCGTGTTACCACTGACAACTTTGATGACCTCCCGGATTTGCGATTTCTGTAAGTATAAATAAAAATCTAACGGTTCATTGTTACTCAATGTACATTGTGTTATATCGTAACAATGCATATATTATAATATATCATCTCTATTTATCTTATTTACTTTCCCAAACTTTTATATTTGTACTTCAGTCGAAGGTAGAAGTGCGACGTCTGAATATGGTGGGGCAATATGGGTTCAATTTCCCTTGTTCTGTCAGCATCTGGTTTAATTACTAGTCACGTGCTCAGTGGAACACAAATAAGTTAATGTTACTCGTATGAGAACTGAGCCCGATAGTTTCAGTTCTTCGACCTGCATGGTACTTTTTCCGCATCTTTTAAAAACGCAGATTTTAAATCTCAAAGCTGATAAAACTGAAATGACGATAAAAAGCATGTCTTTGAAGCAACTCAGTTGTTACACCTTGGAGATGGGTCCTTTCTGATATTTGGCTTGGTTGACTTCGCTATCTATTTAGTTACCACAGTAATAAACAATTGATTCATGCTTTAGCTATTATATGCATTTAGAAGTTTACAGGTTACGACGACCACTCGCTCGAGAAAAAAAAATCTCTGGCGAAATTTTGCTCAGACACGCTATCAACATCCGTCATTGGATTAAGAAGTACGCTTAGTACGTATACTGAGTTTTAGCGCGGCTTTTCTTCCTATGCTCTTATTATCAACGGTTAGGAATTGAAAGCTCGCCTGTTACTCCTGTAGAAACTGATTGCAATAGTCTTTGATGATCTTTGATGCAATGGAGGTTTTATTCCTTAAAAGAAATCATAGAGTTCGAATTTAATTAGGCAACGTCGTGTTATTATTCTAATGTGCTGTAACACGGGGTCTAATACTTGTAATGATATGTGACTCTATATTTGCAGATTCATGCATGATAATATGATGAATGAACTTCCCAATGGCTTCTTCAGAAATATGAAGTACCTGATAAGGGTGTAAGTAGGGCGTACATGTTTCGAATCAATAGGTATAAACCTTATTTTCCACTTTTTCTGACCTCCCTTACTCTTAAGTATTAATTTAGGCAAAGGTATTGACAGGAGGAAACTTGTTTTGATGTCCATCAATAACTGGCCAGGTTATGAGTATCAATAAACCCTTTCTATATTCTGCTGAATGGCTTGGTTATTGACCTTACTTAACGCTTTTAGCTGTTTCTGCTGTGGAGCAGAGGGTCTCTGTGCTAATTTATCTGTTTGCTGAAAAGGCGACTATTAACTCCCTTTCTGTTTTAATAATTCTAAGTCATCTTTTAACATGTCAATAGTTTGTTAACGTTACCCGACGGTTCCACGAAAGTTACAATTATACCTTGACAGGATTTTTGATCAAACGGGCTGTTTTCAAGGTAGTTTTTGGTATGGACGAGCCCTCACGGTTTACATAAAGAGAAAGGTCCGTGAAGAATGTTTCAGCTTTTTTGCATCGGTTTATTGTGTTTATTGTCGTACACTGGCACTTAATGTCTCTATTTTATGTGCTCTGTAGGACGCTGGACACCAACATGATGTGTTGTCACTTGAAGAAAGAAGATGCCGATTGCATTTCTACCATCGTCGAAAACTTCGCTAGTTGCGAAAAAATGTTAAGGAACCCAGCCCCACGCAATAGCATCTGGGCCATTGGAGTCCTTTCGCTGCTCGGTGCTGTGTGTGTGCTTGTCTTGCGCCATTTTGTTAAAGAGAGAAATGTGGTCCAAGTCATCATGCTGATGCACTTGGCAATGGCGGATGGCTTGATGGGTGTGTACTTAATCACCATAGCAGTCATAGACAGCCTGTGGTCAGGAGATTATTATTTGCACGACTTCCAGTGGCGATTCGGTTTACCATGTCAGATCACAGGAGCAATATCAGTATTATCCAGCGAGGTTTCTGCAATGTTGCTCACTCTGATATCTGCTGATAGGCTGAAAAATATCGTATTCCCTTACCGCGGAAGAAGCTTGACCCGCCGAAAGGCACACATTTTGTGTGTGGTTGTATGGGTTATTGGCTTTATCATAGCATTCCTTCCCATAAGTGGTATCCACTATTTCAATGATCCTCTTGGCCGACCTGCATACTACAGCAGGTCAGTCGTGTGCCTTCCTCTTCAGCTTTCTGCTAGATTTCCACCTGGATGGGAATATTCAGTCGCCATTTTTGTTGGATTAAATTTCCTTCTCATCATCTTTATGATTGCTGCATATGTAGCAATCTTCCTAAAAAGCTGCCTCTCTAATCGGCGCCTCGCACACCAAGGAACCAGCAGAGAGATCAAGACTAGGGCCAAATCATCCACTGCCAAAAGGGAAACAGCTCTTGCAAAGAGGTTTGCCTTTATCATTTTCACGGACTGCGCCTGTTGGTTGCCGATCATAGTGATTGGTATCAAGTTCTTGGTGGAGAAGGATTTCTACCCCTCAGACGACCTCCCTGTTTGGATGGCCGTCTTCGTCCTGCCAATCAATTCAGCCCTGAATCCGATCATATACACATTATCAACCCCTAAGGTGCGAAATAACACTTAGGTCACTAAGGTGACTTAACACTTATAGCTGATTAGATAATCCCGGATACTTTACTGCTGAACATGATTTTCAATCACAGCCCTAGCTTCTATGTGCTCATATCTTACCACATAGTGTCGTAACATCACTGCATTCATTAAAAAGCAATAGAGCTACTTTGATGATGAAGAATATTACTACAACTATTAACGAGCCATAGCTTTGGACCATCGAGGAATTAACTTTAAGTGACTACAGTTTGAGCTTAGAAGCTACAGACTCATACATGCCCCGCTATATTTAAACTGTTTGTAATGGATCTGTGATATTCCCAAATACGGTACTGATTGTACGGTTTTTAAATTTTTTAACACAACTTTAGATAAACATTTCTTAAACATCCCCACAGGTGCAAGACTTCATCATACCCAAGCTGCGAAAGGTGATAAATTTTCTGCGCGCCAGGTTTACATGGGGACAGAATCAACACAACCAACAAGGTAGATAGAGTCTTGCATTTTGTAATTTTAAATCCACAGTTTTACAATCTACAGTCGAACCTCCCGTAAGCAACCACCCAAAATGTCAGGCTTAGGTGGTCGCTTTCAGGAGGTGGTCGCTTACGAGAGATTAGACCCTATTGGGTCAAAAATTTTGCTCATTAGCAAATGGTACTTTTAAGACATTTTATGTCGTCTATTTTAAGACTGCTAGTGTGCAGTGTGTACATGTGCATTTCGTCTTCGAAGTTTTAAACGCTTTATTCATTTGAAATGTCACAAAACAAAACAAAACAAAGCAAAAAATCCTGCACATACCATTAAGAAATTTCTGTCTCTTGTACCACCCAGAAAAGCAATAATGTTACAGCAGGCTTATTATCCAATTTTCGTGCTATTATCTGTCAAGTGGTCGCTTACGGGAGAGTAAATAGAAAAGAAAATTTCAAACCTTTAGCTCTAAAAGTGGTCACGGTCGCTTACGAGAGGTGGTCGCTTAAGGCTGGTTTTCACTAGCGACGGAGTCGTAGTCGGAGTCATAATCAGAACCGTAGAGTGATACGATCTAGTGAAAATCAAACCGACGGAGTCGGACGCAGAACACCCATTCCGCTTATGACTCCGTCGCTTACGATCTAGTGAAAACTAGATTGTCGGAGTCGGAA